CTGTGATGTAACCGAAAGACAAATACTAAACACACAGACACTTTTTTATCTGCTTAAACATGGCTGGCCTGCCAAAAGTCACCTGCAAGTGGACTCCAGAGAGAAACCAGAAAGCTTCCACTACCAAAAAATCTTGCATGCCTACAAACTGGTCATATTTGATGGTGACCTGTAATTTCCTGCTTCTAAATTTAAACTGAGGTTATTGTCCTCAACCCTAATAATCTAAGAAATAAGATATCTAACCAGATGCTTACTCCAGATGGCACTACTTAGGCCTCCAATAACACAGCGAGGAATCTTTGAGTCCTTTTTGACCAGGATATGTCCTTAACTTCACATATTAAACAAATATGTTGGACTGCTTTCTTCTATTTGTGCAATTTCTCTACAATTAGAAATGCCCTTTCTCAGAGTGATGCTAAAAAACTAGTTTGTGCATTTCATTACTTCTAGACTGGAATACAGTAATTCCTTATTATCAATCTGTCCTAAAAACTCTCTGAAAAGCCTTTAGTTGATCCAAAATACTGCAGCGAGAGCATTGACAGAGACTTAGCCAGTGCTTTGGTCAAAAGTGGAGTGACAGGAGAACCAATCTAGCATGTTCTTGCATGAAACCTGAGCTCCCAAAGGAGAAACCCTCAAGGACAACAAGCCGCACAACAGGAGGGATCTGACCTGGATTGAATGAAGGACCCTCTTACTGTGTGGCAACAGTGATTTTCACTTGAAGGCGTTTAACAGCTTAGTTCAAAGCCTGCCACCTCCTACTTAAAGAAAGTGTCAAATCCTGCTCAATAATAATGCAAACAGTGGCTCATTCATGTTTCATGTCTGACACATGGAAGTCACATGGAAGGATTTGATGCTTTTCTCTCCTGTTGTGTGCAGGCCATTTTAATCTCATAAATATTATTTCTATCATTTGCCTTTCTGTCCTTTTAAGCGATGATCTCTGAAAGAAGCTGAAAGGAGCATCAGATTTGTGTTTTGGCGATTGGGTATGACCTGGATGAAGCTGTCAGCTCGATTGGACTAAAGCGTCCTCACCAAGCTTGTTCCTGTTAGACAGCAGGATGGAGGTGCAGTGGAGTACGTGAGGCAGCGCCGCCTGGACCAGCTCCCAGCGGGAGATGCTCTGGATGGCCTCTGACAGGGCCGGTGACAGCCCGTGGAGCTTGTTCTCCACCAGCACTCGCTCAAAGGACTGGGGAGGCAGCCAAAGGAGAGAGAAAAAAGAGGAGAAGAGAGACATCAGGCGAGCAACTTAAGCCTCTTTCTTTGACTATCTAAATGTCCCACATGGCCCCGAGCGAGCAAAAGCCTGTGGGAGAGACAGTGGAAGCTCTGTTTGGATCCAAAGGGATCTGGAGAAGCGTCATTATGGATATGAGTCTAGCTCGAGGGTAATGGGAGGAAGCACGGGGGCAAAACTAATTTGCTAAATGCAAAATCAAGAGCTCACTTGATTTGCAGGTGCATTAAGGTAAAACAGATTACTGGGAAGGGAAGCGATTATTTCCCCTCATCGTGCACATGGTATTATGAAATGACTTACCACACAGGATGCCTCATACTGTTTTCCCAACTTTGGCCGCAGAAAAGCACTGAAAGACATCAACAGAGTGCTTGTGAGAAATTAAATAAAGGACAAATGTAGGTTATAGGCTAGTAAATCACCCCATTTTGTCTATGTGGCCCACTTTTTTTTACAGGTGTGACATCATACAATCTGCACCCACAGCCCCATCTTCCTCCATTTAACACAAATCAGTGAGCAGACACTCACTGGCGGGGTTTCTCAATCACTTCATCAAATAATGTTGACGTGTGACGCGGTGACAAACCCCCGTCAGCCCTGCCTCGTTTTCACCAACGGCAAACACCTGTTATCAATGTCACCAACCTGGTCTGCCTCCACAGGAAGGTCTGGATCGGGAACGGTATTCCCTTCCCGCACTCCGGTTCGTTTTCATCCAGGCTTTTCCTCTTCACCATTTTGGCCGGACCCTGCGTGGCCGCCTGCCTGTGTGCGATCACCGGGACGCGCGGCTGCTGGCTCTGCCCAGGTGACCAGCGAGCTTTTCCCTCCCTCTTCACGACATGATTGGGTTAGTCCTGCGTAAAATGGCTGCAAGTGTCGATCGGTCGGTCGGCGGCAAAGGAGAGATAGAGAGAGAGAGAGAGGAGGAGGAGGAGAGAGGAAGAAGGAGCGCTCCGAAATCAGCACCTCCCTCCCTGGACAGCGACAGCTGATCGGAGAGCTAATTTATCAGCAGCAGCAGCAGCAGCGAGGCTTTAAAGACGCAGTGTGCAGCTGGGCCAGATGTTCTCCCCCTCTGCCTTTTCCTCCTCTGATGATTCCCCGCAATCAACACATGGAGCGACTGAAACCGCTGCATCCGCGTGGTGCATCCACCCCTTTAAATATCAACAGGTTGTTTAATAATAGCCCAAGCTGTGAGTCATAAAAACACAGCAAAATCAAATCAGGTGTCACTTCCCGAAACATTCGCACTGTTTAAAGAGGCCATGCCGCGCAATAATATCCTCATAAGGCCATGGAACAGGGATCTAACATGTTGACGAAATCCAGAACAATGCACCGTGTTTTAACATGGCAGTGCTGTTTGAATGCGGTGTTTCCTTGTAAAAGAAGAAAAAGAACGACCAGAACTGTTCTCAGCAGATGGACAGTCACAGCATCTGAACAGTGCCTCACGCTGCAAACACTAAAACCATAAACATTAAAACCCAGCAGGGTTTACAAACTTTACAAAAGACAGAAAAGGATCAATTAAAGGAACAATAACCATGTAGGGAAGAAAAACTTTAGGTTACTTGCGTAACCTCAGTTCTCAGAGTAGCGTAAATGAGACCTCTTACTATGGGATGACCCTCCCTGCACATTCCTCAGAAGCATTTATCTAATTGGCCAAGGTGACCACCAGCCAATCCTGTTAGGTTGGTGGTCAGGAACAGCCATCCACGTTTAAATAAATTGCGCTATTTAATAGCAGTTATTCAAGATAAGCACCTCTTCTCGCTTAACAGCAAGAAGGGCTGTCTGGGTCATGCTACTCTGAAAACTGGAGTTTAGTCACCATCTAGGTATTGAAGTTTATAATTTGCAGGAGAAAGACACTGATTTGGTCCTGGTTTTGTTCAAGGGGTTTAACAAATATATATATATATTTAACTGTTCAGGAATCACAGCCATTTTTATATTAAGTCCTCGGGTGACTGACTTGGCCACTAAAAAAATCTCTATCTTTGCAGAAACTCTTGGGTTACTCAAACAGGATGCGTTGGGTCAATCAGTTGTGCAGCATTCGGCTAATCTGAGCAGAGGATAGCCCCACACACTTCATAATTCATCCTGCTCCTTCTGTCAGCAGAGACATCACCAGTAAACACCAGTGATACAGTAGTTCCACTGGCAGTCATACATACCCATAACCAGTGTTGGTCAAGTTACTTACTGATTACTTCCCCCCAAAAATAATCGTGTTACTTTACTGATTACTTATTTTCAAAAGTAATTAATTACTTAGTTATTTAATTACTTTTAAAAAACATGATTTACAACCTGAACAGGTGATAAAGCGATAGATCTTTCAGCCCAATTCTACTTTCTCTGCATACATACATACAAAATGTAATCAAATGGAAAAGTCTCTTTAAAACTCGTTTTACTAGTTTTAATCTTTTAACTTTATGCATCAAGCAAAAATTAAATTATATGCAACATTCTCTGACTGGAAGAAATTTGTTTAACATTTAAACCTATTTTCTGCGCATTCCAGCACATAAAATAAAATATTTTTTGTGTTTACACTCAGTCTTTCAAATAAATGCAAGTGAAACACAGCAGAAAAAAAATTAAATTAAAGACTCAGCGATCCTGTTGCTCTACTTTCACCTGTATAGCAGGCGGAGGTTTGCCCTGGTGCAGGTGTGCCGCGGCGGTCAGTGGAAGAATCCGCGAGTGTCTCTGTGAATTTCCCATTATGTCGTAGTGCACTCAGTGCTTGCTCAGAAGTTAAGGGTTTTTTTCGCTGTAAAAAGAAGTTTTCTTCCCACGCAGTGAACAGCGGACACTAATGTTGTCACTTTTTACGGAATCAAACTCAAAGTAAGGTCAGTACTTCCACGCTTTAAGTAAGAAGCTATGAAATTGGACTGGAATCAACTTCAGATATTTTATCTGCTTCATTTGTCATGGAAGAAGGGAACAGGCCTAATCTGGCCATCAAACTGCCTGTCAGTCAATTGTCTAATTGATTTAGAGCTTCTGCAAATGGGATAGTGTACAAAAATGACTGTAATTCTTAACTCATACATACATTTTTGTTAACCCTCTTGAATTAAAAGCTGCAGTGGTGTACAGAAGCAAGTCTGCAAAAATTGCATTTGTCCCACTATAACTTTCATTAGAGCCCAGAAAAGAAATACTTCTCTGGTAAGCTAAAGAAATATGTCATCGCGCTTCGTTGAGCATAAACTAAAATTAATGTTTAAAATTACAGAAAAAAATCATGTAATAATAAAACTGAATGTTTTTGTTAATTCACGAAAAATGTCTGTTTTTAAATCACTGTTTTGCCAAACTAACAAACTCATTAAGTAAAAAAAAAATGTGTGTAGTAATGAAAAAAGGGAAAGGTTGCTGTTATTTAATTGTTTATCTATCACTTAATTACTTTGTTGTTCTTTGGCACAGTATGAACAACTGTGGAGGTGTTTAAACAGAAAGAAAAGCTACAAAATCTGTGAAAATACAGTCAAAATTCCAAAGTTTATCCTCTCCTTCACATTTCCCAAAGCTGTCCACAGGGCCGATGTTTGTCGGGTCGATTCTGGCCCCCATGCCTTATGTTTTACTCGCCATTACCAACTTTATGCAGAACTATAGAAAATTATAACAGGTTTTAAAGCGTTTGTCTGTCAAATATACAAACTTCAAATGACTACAGTAAAGCCAGCAATGCCTCCTGTTTAATGAATAATAATGACATTTTTATTGAGCCTTCAAAACACGTGCTGATGATAACCAAACAGGCACGCCACACATGCAGGTTGACGTGTTTTTCACAAAAAGATGAGTATTTTCAAAGAATTGATCCACAAGACTAGAATGAACCAGTTTTTTTATTTCTTTTATTTCTTTATTTTTGTTGTTGCCATCATCCTGTAGGAGCATTTTGTCATCAGTACGTCTCAAACACCGGAAAGTGTGCACACATCTACAATTTTTTTAAATCTTTTTTTTTTTTAAATACACTTACACAGGCAAAGAGGGGGAGGGATATAGGAAGCACAGAAAAACACTGGAAGGGTAGGTGACATCAGGAGGGGAGGTGGGGGGTCTCATAATGGTGAGCAGAGAATATGCTAGAACATTTTTTTATTCTTTTTTTAAAAAAAAAAAACTTCTAAAAGCTGCAGGTTTGTGGGGTATTATTCCCATTCTTTACCTTCTTTATCTCTGCAAACGTTCAAAAACTTCTTTCAAATGGAATGTTTTCATATAAAGCTTCACACTTAACACTTTTTAAAACAAAATTCGGGGCTTTTACCCACTCAAATACACTACACAACCCAGTCTTTGCAAAAGGAGCAAGGTCACAGGGGCCCGTGTGCTAGAATGCACCCGGGCCATTTTACACCCACACAGAAAAGTCGAAGATCGCTCCAAGTAGATCTAATTTATTTATCATTTATTTGCCATGCCAGCATAACAGCATTGTTGTAGCCTAATAAAAACCACAGCGCTAATGTAAAACCAGAAAATAAAAAGAAGAGAGGGTGGAAGGGGCGGTGCAGCCCGACGGCTGACGAGAGAAGAAACTAAAACACAAAAATCTATTGGAAAGCTAGCCTTTTAGCGCCCGACTCGACAGAGCTGCAATGGTTATCCACATTTAAATGCTAATAAGCCAGAGCAGCCACAGGGAACGTACAAAACTGTAAATACTTCCAACTACAGTGACATATATTTTTTATATATTTATATATAAAAAGAAAACAAGAGAACACAAGTTTGTCCAACAATTCAGCACAATTCAGGAAATCCAACAAACGCAACAAAGAAAAGTTCATGTCACACACTTTTCTTTTTTATGTTGTTTTTTTGCAGACATGCTCATCAGCCATTCTTTTGCAGGTCAGTTAAGTCTCTCGCTTATCTTTAAGACTAGCACCTACTGTCTAGTAGCTATATCTTGCATTCAGTACCGTATAAATTCTGAATGGACGTCACGGTCCAACTTGAAATTTTTAGCCCCGTGCGAGTGGGAATGTGTTGGTGTTTTTCAACGCACCAAAGAAAAAGAAGTAAAGATGAACAGAAAAAGGACCAAAGAAAAATCCTGTACAATCGTAAAACCACCTTCTTGAACCACTTGAACCTTGGCATTCAGCTTATCTAAAACAGAACAGTCCATGTTTGAGTGAATGAGAGGATAAAAAGCAGACCGACAGACGGGGAGTGTCGATGAAGATTTATGAAGAATTCAGTTTTTTAAAATCCCGCTTGGAAGGGCCGGAGGGATCGTTGATTGGATGAGACGGTCAACCAGCTACAACTGTGGGGGTTACGTTAAACACTGGAAGCTTGTGATGGGAACGATGGGAAAAGGAGGGGTGATGGTGTGGATTTGTATTTTTCCTAAGCAGAGGCAGCTGGCTCATAAGCCCTGCTTGGCCAGGGCAGCGGTGACATCCTGGGCCAGCGTGGAGAGCTGGGGCGACTCCAGGAGGTTGATGCTGCCGGAGGAAGACAGGCGAGGAGAGGTGCCTCCCGTCTCGATGCCAGGGGAGTGGGTGACGATGATTTCCGCACCGTGGTCCACCCGAGCTTTGGCCGAATCCCGGAAATTCAGCTTGTGGCTCTCGATCTGGTGAGCAGGGGAAGACTGTTTAGGTCAGCGCTCTTTTTCCTCTTTAACGTGAACTGACAGTGACATTTGGTATAAAAAGAGGCTTCCTTTTACCATTATGTTCCCGCCTCCAGGAGTGTGGCTGGCGTTCTCCAGAGAGTTGACCTTGGCGTGGGCCTTCTCTTTGAAGTCCAGCTTCACATTGTCGATACGCACATGTCCTCCCCCTGGGAACAGGACAGCAAGGAGGAGAAGAGAAGTGTTAAACCCACGAGGAATCGCTCGCCTGCAGGACATCACTTCTCCTAGGCAATGCTCAGGGCAAAAAAAATCTCAGCCTGCACACTGCACAGCCTGAAAAAGGCACAAGTGCCAGCTTTGACCTGATTTATACAGTTTATATAGTACCATGTAAGACTGGATGCAATATTCAATTTCCTGCTTTGACACTTTCTTGTAAATATCATTGAAATGGTGACATTATGGGGGCAAAACTGAAGCTGTAAGTGGACAGATGACAGATGAAATTAAGAAATATCAATCAGATTATTGCTACGATTAAAGGAAATACATATGCTTTTACTAAATCAAAACTAATTTGACAAGAACAGACTTTCGCTCAAAGACTGGTGTTATTGGGCCTTGTTTAAAAAAAAAAAATATGACAAACAGTTTGACATCTTTACGTTGATCTACGTGGAATTTCTGACTCCTTTTGTGTAACCCACAGCCACTGAACTATGTGTTGCACTGTAAGTTAAAGACAAGCATGTAATATAAAATAACAATATGTGGATCTGCCTCTATTATAAAATGGATGGTGACCAACTGCATTCTCCAACTGCTAAAAGAGTAAAATTTAAACTTTCGTGCTGTGTGACAGTGGCTTAAATGGTCTTATAATTGTGTAATGTGGTAAAAGACGTTTGGGATCATTTAGAAATCGTCATAGTTTGTCCAGCAGAGCAGCTCTGACTCCATCCGGGCTGCCTGCAGCACATGTAGCAGAGCAGCAGCACAGCTGATAGTTGTGTGGAATCAAGCAGCGTCTTCACATTAAGTTCCTAATGGGATTGGGCAACATGATAAAACCTCCCAACCACCTTCAGTCAGCCCAGAAATTTGTGGAGGAGTATGTGTGCTGCACAAACATTTGTAGCGTTTCAGTGAAAAACTACCAAAATAGAAGAAACTCTAATCCTGGTGCTTTGTTCTACATCAGTTGGACAACAAACTCCATCGGTATTTCTCTACAACTCCCCACAGAATTGACAGCAACATTTGATTCTTAAGACTTCAAATTTCCTAAATCAAGAAAATAAAAGCACAAAAGAAATTAGCATCCAGATCTGATGTACTCGACGAGTTGTCAATGTCTCATCAAATTTAGTTATGGAGTACTTTGCTGGTTGCCCTTTTTTAAAAATGTTACAGCATTGTTTGGGATTTTAGTTTGTTGCTTGGTGGTTGTTAGGCAACAAAGACATTAGTATATACCATGCATAATCCAACTCCTGTGGATATATATGAGAGCGCACAGTCCTGAAATTAAAATGATACAATGCTTTTATAAGGAGTTTTAGTTGCATACTACAAATGGGCCATTTTAGCTTGCTGGTCGGAGGTTGCTAGGCAATGTGATGATGTGCTATAGATAAGAACAATCAGGGACCGGGTTTGTTTGCTCAGCTGGAGGTTTCATGGATTACAGTGGATATACATAAAGAGAATTGGAATATATATCAATACTGGAAGGTTTTAATGATCCAACATTTAGTATAAAACACAGCATTTGTTACGCTCTAAATGGCACAAAAATCATTTATATCCATAAGGACAAATCAAAATCAGCTAATAGCAACTAGTCTTAGCATTCCTTTAAGAAGAGAGCCTTACATACTTTGTACAAGTAGGTTGCCTTCCTTTTTTCCATACATCATATATACTAGTTAAATGCATGCTGGAGTATTGTTTGGTCTGTGATTTTAGTGTGTTGTTAGATAGTTGCAAAGCAGCATTTAGACATCATAAGTTGCATGCATAATTCAACTGCTGTGGATATAAATTAGATGTTTTTGCCACCAAATTAAAATGATACAAAGCTTTTATAAGGAGTCATACACTGTAGGTGCATAAATGCTGCAAATGGGCCATTTTAACTCGTTGGTAGTAGAGATGGACCGATCCGATATTAGGTATCGGTATCGGTCCGATACTGACCTAAATTACTGGATCGGATATTGGAGAGAAATAAAAAAATGTAATCCGATCCATTAAATATCAAAAAAGCACTTCACAAAACTTGCGACATGGCATAACTTGGCCCATAACCATAGCACGTCGGAGCAGTGATCGCGTGATAGAGCGGCTATGGTAAGCGAGCCTTGCTACCAAACCGGCATTTCATCTCTGAGGAAGTGATCCCCGAGAGAAGTAAAGCAAGTGTGTAAGTTCATCTCTGAATGTTTATAAAGCATTCCCGCGTTAAGCTTAACAACCGATATATGGAGTGACTGCCTCTTATTCTCTCTCCCTCCCTCTCCTGCTGCTACTTCAATCGTGAAACTGATCAATGATCAGCTGATCAGCTTTTCTGTCGCGAGTCTGTCTCTCTTGTTTGCTTTTGGCCCACTTCGCGCCAGAAAGAGGAAACCAGCGGCTGAACAACAGCAGCACGTTTAAGCTTGATAAGCTGTTGTTAGAATTTAATTACTTTCTACACCAGGATCCTTTTCTACGTAGCTGTCGGCTGGTAACTGTGCAGGGGCGGATCTAGCAAAGTTTAGCCAGGGGGGCCGATAGGGCATGAACAGGGAAAAGGGGGCACAAAGACATACTTTTCTTTCTTATTGTCATTTAAAATGTCTAGCTTTTAATCAATAACTATCTGAATCTTACACCCAAAGTTTTAATATGATGTAAAATGTATAGAAGTCCATTACTGTATATAGTAACTGTTAAGTCTAATATATCCTAGTAAGCTATAGTACTTTTTCCTTTGGGAAGGTACCATCTGTGCAGTCTGCAGTTCTGTTGAAGAAAGATGTTGAATCTATGTAATTATTCTTGAAAAATAATTGATTTCTGTGCGTTTTTTTTCACACTGCATCAAATTAAAGTTGATTACGTCGATTAAGCATCATGAGGTGGAGGGTGGGGGATGGTTCCCTATTTTTTTTTTTGTGCTGGGAGTTTGCAACCCTATTAGTTAGGTTGCTTACTCTTTAAAATACCAGAATAGGAAGGATGTAGTAGGTTTAAGTTTATTAGATTGATCAGTATTGCTGAACTAGGAAATATTTTGGGTGCAGTGTATTTTTTCCATACAGGTATAACAGAATAGCTTTAGTGTTTTATTTTTTTAAACTTGAGTTTGAACTTATACAAAATGCAGCAAGATATTAAAAAAATCATTTTTCTTGATTAAAAAAACACACTATATCGGATTCATATCGGTATCGGCCAATATCCAAATTTATGATATTGGTATCGGTATCGGACATAAAAAAGTGGTATTGTGCCAACTGTAGTTGGTAGGTGGTTGCTAGGCAACATGATGATGGTCATTGTCTGAGATATAGATAAGAACCATTGGGGGCCTAAGGATTTTTTGCTCAACTGGAGATTTCGTGGATTACAGTGAGATATACATAAAGAATATATATCACCAATGTTTTTAAAAGTTTATAGTACGAGTAACTTCTTTCAACAAGGACAATTAAAGATGTGGTAATGACAACTAGTCTCAGAATTCCTTTAAGAAAAGGCCCTTAAACACATTGTACAATAATGTAATTCTCTAAGTTTTTCTAAAAGGCCAGCTGTGGCTGTACAGTACCTGGTCTGTGGTGGATGTTGGAAAAGGAGCCACATTTAGCGGTGACATGGCTCAGGTCGATCTTCTTGGTCTGGATTTGGATCTGCGAGCAGTGGCACATTGCACAAATTCACCTTTAATTGCTTTGAATGTGAATAAACCACAAATAACAGGCATGAAATGCAATGAAATGAAAGCGACAGGTTTCAAAAAGAGAGAAAATGAACGTGGTGAGATGACATGAATCTCTAGACAAAGGCGGTGTGAGTCAATCAACCGCAGTCCACAGAAAAGCCACAGAGAGGCTGATGTCAGATCCCTGGAGCGGAGGTTAACATGAACGCAAGCAGTGACGGTGCAGACATCAAACAAACACAGAACACGGGCGCTACTGTGTGACGCTACGGGGAGCAGGTGCTTTAATTAAACTTTATTGTCCATGGGTGATGTGAATTAGTGCGAGCATTGTAAACAAGAGAAACTGACAGCCTTGCAGGCTGCAGAGGGAAGTGGTTTATGTTATGAAATATATGCACTATGCAGACATGCTGTATGTTGTGGCCCAGGTGAATGCACAAAGATTATACAATTGTAAATGTTTTTGTTTCTGAGACACAAAATACAGCTAATGAAGACGAACACACTCCACGAGGACGGCTCACACACACATCTTAATGTGAAGTGTTATCAAGAACGACAGATCTTGGATGAGATGATTTTCTGCTAAGTCACTCACGTTTCCCCCGCCTGCCGCGTGCTGGATTTTGTCCAGGGAGCCACATTTAGACTTAACGTGGCTAAAGTCCAGCTTAACGCTTGGAATCATGACCTGCGGATGACAGGTTGACTTTTTTCTTTAAAAAAAACCCAAACAGACAGAACACACAGGGTCTCTCACACAGCCGTGGAGTCGAGGGGCTTAATAAAAAAAAAACCCTTCCTACTTCCCTGCTTAAAATAATCCTGTAGAGGCGTCCCAGGTTTACATCAGTCTGTCGATGCCCACTTTAACTCGAGTGCGCTTGAATTCAGACTGCATGAAATGAAGCCTATGCAGAAATCAAGGCCCTGTTTAGCATCAAGTCTCAAACGTGAAGCGCACGAAAGAGTTTACTTCCCAGTGTGCAACATCCACAATTTTTAAAAATTAAAGAAAAATCAAATCTTCTACCAACAGCTAGCTCTGCAAGCTGCTTTGCAACCCACCTCCACCCCAGTTTCCGGTCTATGCTAACTTTCCTGTTATACACTAAACAGTAAACAGTGCTAACTGAAAAAAAGTAACATAGGCGTGCTACACCTTTGGAAATAAACCCCTTCTCTTTTGCTTGTCCGAAACAACGTATTGGCAGACGGACAGATGACAGACGCGTGAACACATAATAGTAGCATGACAGAGTGCCACGACAGCCCCAGCTGAGAAAAAAGAGAAAGAGAAATAAGAGAAAGAGAGAAAAAAGAGGGAGAGAAAGGCGTACATACATTGCCTCCTTTGGGCGAGTGCTTCAGATTATCCTTGGAGCCACACTTTGGCTGAATATGACTGAAGTCCAGCTTCTCGTGTAAAATGTGAACCTAAAATAAAATTGGATAATTATGATAATAATAAAAAAGAAAAAGAAAACACTGTATGTGCCTCATTTAGATAAGTGTGCAGTGAGGGGTCGGGGTCTGTTTGCGTGCATCATTAGAACTAACAATGCTTTTCTTCGTGGTGGTGTATACAGCTCTGAGAATAGCAGTGATACGAATGTTTAATTCCCACTTTAGTGTCTCTCGCTTTGTCCCTTTGTCACTTATAATAGACAATAGTCTTCTAGGTTTCTTTACAATCTGACTTCCTTCTAATCGCCCCCTGCTGGTCATTAGAAGGAATGCAGTCTGGCTTCAGTTTCAGAGTCGGCCTTTTATATACAGTTTATAATGACCAGGATAAAAAGGTGCAAGAACCCCAAACAGTGGTGTTACAAACTGCTTGACTCTTATGTTGTAACTGAGACTGCAGTCACGTCCAAGAAATGACCTTCCAAGAATCTTTTACGGAGGACAAATTTGTGTTATTCTCAGAGCTGACCTGGAGGCAGAAATAATCTCACTGGTCAAGTTAAGCCTCACTGTGAGTAAGAAAAACTGAAAGATTGAGTTTCTTTCCTGAGAGATGCTCAGACTGATGCTCAATAAAAAGATCAAGATGTTATAAATATGATGAGGATCAAATCTGCAAATAGAAAACAAGAAAACGTATTTTTTCCCCTGCATTAGTAAAAACCCAGCAAACAGTAGTGTTGCTTGTACAACAAAAATAAAATAAAATAATAAAAAGGGGGACTGTGCTCCAGTTCAAAGACTCAGAAGGTGAAGACAAACAATAAAGAGAAAGGAAAAAGAGAAAAAGGGGTTCAGGGAAAACACATGAGAGCTGTGAGAACCAGCCTCCTCCTGCAGTCTCCACTGAACTGACCTGGATTCTTCCGACAGCTCTGATGTTGATTTATTCCCACGTATAACAACATGTGCTGTGTTTAGAGGTTATCTCTCTCATTCCTTCTGTGGCTGTTTCAGCTCAGAGGTTTCAGCCTTTCTGCAAGGTCGACCAATGACAGAGCGAATGAACTGAACTCAATGACGGCCCTGTTTGGTTTATTTTAAAAACATGAACTAATTATGTAAACTCGGAAAATCACAATACTGAAAACAGAAATACCACATTTACTGTTTTCAGGTCTCTTAAAGTGTTTCTTTAGTTTTGAGTCCAGTCCTTGTACCGGACCATTTTCAGAGGAATGAGCCACTTAACACTGACCCATGAGTCATTCTAGCTCCTGTAGACTTCAGTCTAAATAGAGTGATTTTGTGTGGAAGAAAAGCTTCTCTGTGAGCAGAAGCTAATATGAAAAGATAGAAAATGGTCCTCTAATATTTCTGGTCTATATATCTGTCTGCGCTCCTGTGCCGCTCCACTAAGCCGTGCGTCACCGAGCCTCATTAAAAATTTCTGTCCCTCTGTCAGTTTTCTCCCCAAAGAAGTAAGGAGAGCTGGCAGTGAATCGACTCCACCTCCATATATCACAGGGTTAATGACCTCACCAACACAGCACTGTGGGGACATTAAAATGATCAGTTACACCCCAAAGATTAACAAGGAGATGGTTTCTGTCTCCTATCTGCATGCAGTCCATGTGTTATTTTATGTGTGAGGTACGTCAGTGCAAAGGAACATCTCTCAGTTATTCTAACAGCTTGGCCACCTTGAGATCCTCTAAAATTTTTATCTCGTAGGTTCCTAAAAGACATCTTTTTCTGAAAGTCAAGGGTGGATAAAAGGAAGAGAGATGATATATTTTTATGCTGTGACCTTGATGTGACTCCTCCATAGGTAATTCTGCACGCTTGAAATTATTAATACCCAGAGCTGGAAGGGAAAATCCTGCACAGTGACGAAAGCAGCTCCCTCAGGGGCAAATGCTTTTGCAGGCTGGCTGCTCCTTGGAGGCGGTGTCTTCTTAGGAGGAAGGCTTTATGTTACAAAAACAAAAAAACTTTGGGAGAGCTGAAGGTCACCGGGGAGAAAATTGTTGGGAAAGAAAGAGGAGGAAGACGGAGGAAGAGGGGAAAGGATGCAGCTGATGACGATTCATCCAGACTGATGGAGATGACGGTGGACAGGGAGAGGGCAGAGGACAGTCGGAGGGAGGCAGACACACAGACGGTGGGTTAGAGGCACACCAGACAGTGAGCGAGAGCAAACGCAGAGCATGAGGAGACTGTTTGAGCATTTTATGACATCTCTGGAGAGAAAAAGGAGATAAAAACCCATCCTTTTAAAGCTGCCTATTTTTTTTACTGGTTTGCAGGAGCTGTTTAAGATTTTTCGACACTCTGATACTCACAGAGCATCCAGTAATACTGACTCATGATAATAGACAAAAGGATGGATTTTAAAAATCTCTTAAAAATAGTCAAATGTTTTGACTGAGGGAAATAATACAAAGAACTGAAAATAATTCAAGTTAAAAACAGCTGTGAAATCGTGATTGGTTTGCAGTTTAAAGTCTTCTGCAGCCTTTTTATTTTAAAATGTGTACTTTACTGCCCCCATGTGGCAGAATTATGTACACACATAATACTTATAAGGACAGAAATCATTAATCTATGGAAATCTGTGCTTTTTCTACCTGCAGATGTTTTCCTGTATTTCTGTGTGCTGCAAAGACAAAAGTCACTCTGTGTCTCAGGGCTGCTTGTTACCTGTCCGCCCTTCGGCTGATGCTTAATGTTGGAGGTGGAGCCGATCTTGGACTTCACATTCTTCAGGTCAGGCAGAGGCTGATTGATGACCTTCAGCTGCCGCTGGACAGAGGATGGAGATTTGGGTGGGGTTCGGATCACTGCCACCTTCTTCTCCTGGAGGACGCTGAAGGACTTGGGCGTGTGGCTGCCCGGGGTGCGCGAGCCGGGCGTGCGGCAGGAGTAGCTAGGGGGCGTGCCGGGTGTGACGGCGGAGGAGCCCGGGGTGGAGGCGCCACTGTGGACTGATCGGGAACGCGCCGAGTCTGTACCTTAAGAGAAGAGAGGGCAGTAATGAGAAGACGAAGGAGGAGGAATGAAAAGAAAACCTTCAAACTATTGGATAGAAAGGAGTGATCCTTCATCTGCTTCTTATGATGATGATGATGGAGGAGAAACACAGCACTGAAAAAGACCTGCTCAGTTTCCACCTAAGCAAACAGCCAAGATCACACACAAGTGTTTGCCCAGGAGCCTGAAAGCACAAACACAGGCAGCTGAATTCATTTAGCTACTGGTGGCTTGTTGCTGCGTTACCGGGGAAGAACCAATAAGATTTTATCCTACATGAGAACAAGGAACACACCTGTTGCTGTGATCCACACCTGCTTTTCTGATAAGATAACTGCAGGGTGGATAAAGCCTATTTAGACACGCTTTATAAATACCTGTTTCCAATGGAAACTAAAGCTTTTTCCCAATTTGTGTCACCCTGACCTTTGAACTATGACCTTGAAGCACTAAAATTGGCTTCTATAAGCTGTAAAAACCTGAGATTTTTGGATACATTCATGCAGTGTGTGGTTTTGCACATCTTTATGGCACCATTGTGATGTCATCGTTTGAAAAAATAAAAAGCGTGTCTAATGTCCAAGAGCTTAGGAAAGCCTGGAGGACTATTGCTCAAGAGCACTTTAAAAGAATTACAAAAAAGTCTGGCACCTTGGAAGTAAAATATAAAGAAATGAGGGGTGGCTCAAGACTTTTGCACAGACCTGCAAAGTGTTGTGCTAACATATGAGGTCAATCGATCAGTCTCATGTTCCAGCGGTCCATTGTGGAAGGCACAAACATACTAAATTTACCTTCTTACAAGCAGTTTTTCTGGTCTTAAGGATCACCTGTATCAAACATTACTTCAGCTGCTGTTCTGTGTGATTACCCTCTTTGAATTTCTTGGGGAAATAAATAAATAAAATAAAATCTATTTACTTTTTGGTACAGTAGAGCTACTCAAAATATGGGACACTGTCTCGATGCATGTGGACGAGAAGTCAAGTCTCACATAAAGGGGGACATCTTCGACCCTTCTCGGAACAGGGCAAGATGGCTTTGTACCAGAGGAGGAGAAAGAGGAGATCCTGGTACAAAACCAGGCAATAAGACAAGTGCATCCACAGACCTGACAAGTTTTCAGCTGGTTGAGCGGTTTGATTAAATGATACCCAGAACAGCTGAATTGTGCTTGTTTATGAAAAGGGTAGTACACACTGCTGAATGAAAACCTCTTTCCGGACACCCAAAAGGCCAGATTCATCGCATTTTAACCATTTGGATGAGAGTTTTCTGATGATCCAGCCCCATTAAACTTGCATGAGGTAAACAAGGCTGGCCACTGAGAAAGAAACAGAGATATCTGTTGCCATTTGCAACATTTCCAATCCAGTTCATGTTTGTTACACAAAAACAAATATGCTTTTCTTTCAAAATCAAGTGACCCTAAACTTTTGTGCAGATTACTGTCCCTCCCTGAGCCAAGCTCTGCCTGAGGTTTCTTCCTGTTAAAAGAGAGTTTTCCTTCCCACTGTTGCCAAAACCTTTCTCATAGGGGTTCATCTGATCGTTGGGGTTTTCTCTGTATTACTGCAGGGATGAAGGGATGATGCTCTCTTCTATGGAAAATATAAGTCCTTATCTTATAGTTATTAAAGCAAACAAGCATAAATAAACAGTATAAACTAATAAACAGATGTCGATGAAGATGGTGTGAAAGGTCTAAAAGGATCTACTAGGTGTTCTACCTGCCATACTAGGGGCTCTTCCAGACCTGGTGTCCGCTGTTCGGAACGCTTTACAGAAGAAGGGAATAAAAAGGGAAAATCAGGGGTAAAACAGCAGGTGGGAAGTGGAAGGTGTTGGGAGTTAAAGTATAATACAAATAATCTGGTGAGTAAAGAAGCAATTAATCTGGGAAGCAAACAATCTGAAGGTTTTGGACCGTGGAGATTCTTACAGGTTGGCCTGGAGGGGGTGCTGTTGTCCTCCTGTTCAGCAGCCGGGATGTGGCGTGTCAGAGACTTGGCCGGCCTGGGGAGGGATGACTTCTTCTCGGGGCTCCGGTACACTCTCTCCTGGATTAACAGACACACAGCAGAGTTGAGATGCAGGCTGAGGCATGCACATGCTGGTCACAGCCACCCCTCAACCCTTGCTTTTATCCCCCACCCTCACTTTACCTTCTCCACCCATTTCTTAGACAGAGGTGATGGGCGTGAGCACGCGGAGGAGGGACGGGCCTCGCAGAGCTCCGCCTGTACGAGGGGGCTCCGTTTAAGGCTACAGGCAGAGCCGGGCCGGGGGGGCTCGCGATCAAACCCCCGACGCTGCACTGCCATCTTTAATACAACCGCCCTCGTGGGGCTCTTGACCGTGACCATGACAACAGGGAGGAAAGGCATGCAGGGTAGGTGGAAGATGTTCAGGATGGAAAACAGGCATGACAAGCAGATGGAGAAATGAAAAGTTGAGACAGGATGGAGTAAAAATGCAATGTGTTTATTTGTGGCTCATACACAAACAGTCTGTTTGTGTACGTGTGTGTTTTGATCTAACCGAGCATATCTAAGAACATTGTTGTCTTTATAAATATGCCAAATGAACCACATGAACATTGGATTATTATTATTTCTGTTTGGTTTAATAATCTTTAGGAATGAAATGAAAGGAACACGAAACAGAATTTGGCTGAAATCGTTTGAATGAGCTGCGTCGCTCGTTGCTGCACATCACAAGTGTGTTTTTAATGGTAAAATGTAAAAGAATTTTGCACTTTTGATGTCTATACTCACAGATTTTCTCTGTCGAGACTGACACAAGGACAGAAGCAAGCATGCAAGACAAAATGATTATGGAGAGAGAGAAAAGCAGACATGCAAAAAAAGAGAAGAAAGCCCAAAAACAAAACAGAAAATATGAAGACGCCATGGCCTAACGTCGTACAGAAAATCCACTCACCAGCCACTTTGTTAGATAGAACTTTTCAACTCTTTGTTAATGCAAAAGCAGCAAATTACATTGGAGCAACTCAGTGCATTTAGGTCTGTAGATATGATCAAGCTGCTGAAGCTCAAACTGGGCATCAGAATGGGGATGAAAAGTGATTTAAGTGACTCTAAATGAGGCATGGTTGCTGATTCGATCTAATTTTCCAAGCAACCATTAGTAGTGTTTACAGAGAATGGTCTGAAAAAAAGAAAATATCCAGCAAGTGGGTAAAGATGCCTTGTTGATGTTAGAGGTCAGAGGAGAATAGCCAGCCATTTGAGCTTATAGGAAGGCAGTAACCCCAAAATAAAAAGGCAAACATGGGAATCACACGGGAATCCAGGTGAGGGGTAGCCAATAAGAAGAAAGCGGTCTTTTAGGGATCAATATTACTGAGAGATGATGAAAACACTCTTGGAATAACCTTAACTTTGTGAGGATTTCAATTGAAAGACAAAAAATAATAAACGTTGACTGTTATACTTACAGTGGTCCTCTCCCTGGACTGGTGGGCCACACTGAGGGGCTGATGGTGCTCCACACCTGTGAAGCAAACATGTTCATCAGTGTGACACACACAAATGCACATTTGCTGAATACAAGGTGAAAAAGTGGACATATGAGCACATTCATAATACAGAAGCACCTTCTGTACACGTATCACGACATTTCACGTCATCCTCACTTCGCTTGTTGACAGAACACACAACCTTCAAACATGCGGCCATTTTCAGGAGACATACACACGCACACAAGTGTTAAACCAGAGTTATTCAATACCAGTCACAATGAATAACATCATCACTGAGCAGAAAAAAATAAAAGCATGAATTTGAAGCAGAGCGGGAACAAATACTCCATGTTTGACAAAATGAGAAAAAACAAAGCATGTTTAAAGCTTTTAGAAAAATAAAACTGAAAAAGAAACCCAAAGCAGACCAGACATGACAGAACTTTAAAAAATAAATCAGCAGCACATGATGTTTGCCAGCTACACTGCACCTTGCTTGATTCCTCAATGAGCCATCAATGGAGAGAGAGCAAAGACATCAAACGCCACATATCCAAAACTGATTTACATTTGAAAAAATGCTTTAATTATTTGGGTGTTGCTCTCTCTCTATCCACGGCACTGACTCCGGGTGAAAAGTGTTCACCTGTGGCCTTGCGTCTAGCAGAGCCGTGAAGCAGAGCAGGCCTAGGATGTCTGGCCGCCGCTTTGGCTACACCCTTTCGAGACGGGGAATGACTTTGGAGGGCTGACACCTTACTCTGGTCAGCCCTCCTGATGCCTACTAGCAGAGAGGAGAGACAAGGTTATACCGACATGCATACCTCGGTTAGATGACAAGGATTATAAATTTCAGGCGTAAATACAGAATTGGAACCTTTTTTCTTCTTTATCTCCTCTCTTGGTGGATGGTGGCTCAGTACTTTGCGGGATACTTTAGACTCAGTGGTGGCCCTTGATCTGCCGGGGCCCCGTTTAGCGGGTCTGTCCACCACCACAGGCTTATTGGTCGAGCTCTGGGGCTGAGGAAGGGCTTCGATTTGCTCAGTCATAATACTTTTGTCATCATCTGCAGTGGAGAAGGATCAACAGAGGGCTAATTCTCCACGCTCCTTGCTAGCTAGGAGCTAGCTTAGCACAAAAGACACATTTCCAAACAAGTTTTCTGGTGCTAGCAAGTTTTTAAACCAAAATTATTAAACTAAATAAACATTTAAAGGCTTTTAATCTTTTTTTAAACAAGTGATTTATTAACAGGTTTACTCTGGGTACCTTGTGAATCCATCCAGCCACTGTCTGTATCTAGGATGGACACGTCCATGGTGGTTTCATCGTTAGGTGCTTGATCGGTCTGGCTAAGAACATCCGAGGTCTCCTCCTCCACCTTCCTCACCTTCTTTCCATCCTCTTCTTCTATCATTTTATGATCTTCCGTTCCTTCCTTTTCCTCCTTTGTTTCCTCTTTCTTCACCCCTTCGTACTCGTCTGTCTTCCCTTTCACCTTATCTGTGTCTAAGTCCTCTTCTATTTTATCTGCCTCCATGTCTTCTCTGCCTCCTTCCTCTGTTTGCTGTGTCAGCTCGTGGTCAGAGCAGGGAGACAAGTGCGAACTGTCTGTTGCAGGTTCGTCACTGTTTTGGGCGCTGTGACTCCATTCTTCTGCTCCAGACTTTGGATCTTCTTCCAACATCTGGTCATCCACCATCAGTCTCACTTGTTCTGTCTTTTGCTCTTCCTTCCCAGCTTCTTCAGTTTGACTCTTCCTTGTTTCATCCGGCTCTTGGGCTTCTTCCATTATCTCTTGAGGCTCCTCTGCAATCTCAATATCATCTTCCTCCTCTGCTTCTTCATCTATTTGTGCTTGAGGGATAATGATGATCGGAGAAGATATTTGGAGCTTCGGTGAGCCTTTCACCAGACTGCTTTTTTGCTGCTGGTTTTGGTCATTTTTCTCATCTGTGTGCTTTGTAGTAATTAAATCCTGAGCAGTGTTTGAGGTCTGTTGCCCACTTTGGATTGTCTTAGCTTTGTCTGTGCTCTCTTCTAAAGACTGAGATAATCCTGAAGCCAAGTCTTTGTTTGGCATTTCTGGTTCATCACTTCTTTCTTCAGATTCTTTCTGCTCAGGCTTCAGATTTTCTTTGTCTAACTCTGACTGTTTATTATCAACGTTTTCAGATGCTTTTAGCTCTGATGGGTCATCTTTCTGTGCTTTCTCTCCTGCAGTTTGGGTTTCTGATGATGTGTCATCTGGGGACTTGGGAGTTGTTGGAGTTGGAGGAACCTTGGTTCCAGTTTCTGTAGGCGCGAAAGTGAACGAACTGTCTGGTGGGATAGGCGAAGCTTCTCTTGATGGGTCTTTTTCAACATCTACCTCAGGGATAGCTTGAATCTTTATGTTCCCTGGCAACCCAGTCTCCAAACGAAATTCACTCAGTCTGTCTTTTGAAGTAGTCATTGGGATTCTTAGCCGATCCGGTTTTATTCCACTGGTTACAGCTTTTTCAAGGATCAGGTTAGACTTTACTGGTGAGCCTTTCTTTTCTACCACTGATATTTGAGAGATCACAGGGGTAACCTCTTTGTAATCTTGTTGTTGTATTCCTTTTGAAACATCTTTTGCTTCCAAATCCCCTAGATCCTCCTCTACTTCCCCCTCTACAGAAGGGAAACGCTGGTGTGGAGAATCCCCGGGACTGGGTACATCAGCGGGAGAAGGCATGGGCCCTGAATACTCACTGAAGACACAGTAGCCCACCTCCTCCAGCTGGTTTTCTTGTGAGACAACACTTGGGGCTTGATCTGTCAAGGCAAGCTTGGCTAAAGAACTTCCCACAAGGGCAGATACATTGGCAGGCACTGACTTTCTTCTCATGTAGTCAACCTCCATCCTCTCCAGGGATGGACGAGGTAGGGCACCAGCCAGGTCCAACATCTCAGAGAGGCTTCCTGATTGTTTAGAACTATCTGTGTGCTTATCATAAGGTAAGGGCTCATCTGCCACAGTGGGGATATTTTCAGGTGTTTCAGTGTTAGTCGGAGTAATGGAGACAGCTGGTGGAAATGTAGGTGGATGGCTCACCACAGATGGAGTTGACGGATAAACCTCTGATTCATCATAGCTTCCACTGATTGGATACAAGCTTCCCATGAAGATCCTTGATTTCTCTTCCTTCACTGTCTGTCCGGCTGAAGACCCAACAGTAATGTTCAAGGAAAGACTTCTTTGTTCCAGTCCCAGTTTACCAGAAGATGTGTTGACATTTTGCTTTTGTTGTTTCTCCATATTCTGCACAATGTTTTCATCATCTCCACTTAATTTTGTCTCTGCCGTTGTGCTGAGCTCATAATAGCTCTGGGTTTGTGGCAACTCTTCTTCTCGACCCTCCATGGATGTGTCAAAGTAGGTTTTTGATCCTGACACGTGTTCTACAAAAACATCCGATCTGTCAAGTTCTGGACTTGACGTCAGAGTTTCTTGCGAAAGGTCTGTTTTTTGAATATCAGTGAGCAGTGGTGTGTCATGCAATCTACAGTCATTTGCACCATGCTGGTCCTCCTTATTGACCGCCTCAAAAACATCAGTTTTTTCTTTGCTTTCATTCATATTTGACCCTGACTCACTTGGTAAGATAATTCCTGCTTCTTCTTTTTCTTCTGCCATAAGTTCTGATGAGGCCTCTGTCACAACAACTTCTTTTGCTTCTTTTTCTTTAGACTCTGAAAGTAATTTTCTGTCAGTGACCTCTTCTTTCCCACCCTCTCTGTCTTGATTACCCTGCTCTGTTGAGGAAGTGCAGGGGAGAAGTTTCTCTCTATCAGAAAGAAGGGGAGGGCCAGTCGAGGCAGGTTCTTCTCCTTCTGCCTTTGCTCTTTGTTTCTCAGGTGGCGACGGTTCATCTTCCTTCATAGTGGACTCACAAGATGGTTTACTGACTCTCTCTTCTGGCTGGGCTGCGAGTTTGAAGGATACTGTACAACTTTGTGTTGGGTCATGTTAGCTAAAAGCTTTGCTTGCAGCATCCACAAAAGCTAGCCAATACAGTCAAGCCGGCGCCGTCTGCACATAGATACAGTAGCTCTCCATCAAGCAATACACACAGCACAGTGTATTTTGTGGCAGGCCACAACAGCACAGAGGGGGGATCACAGCACCTAATATAGCGTGCAGAACTGGAATGAAGGAATGAGTTGCATGATGTTAGATGACAAGAAGAAAATGATACCCGAACACACTGAATTCCTATTGCAATACAGGAGGATTTATAAAATATGGTCATCAACATGGTGATCAAAATAAGTTACTTTTATTTGATGTATAAATGGTGTTACTGCAATTTCTACTGCAAACATTGGCATACTGTGGATATGAATGAATTGTTACAGTGCACAAATTATAAAAATAATATTTGCAATATAATCTTTATTAAGTTTCACAATAGTGATGAGCAATGAGGGTGAATCTTATTATCCTAAGTGTGTTTTTAGCAACAATAGGAAATTAACTTTTGCTCTGGGATGAAATGAAAACAACAGTGAAACTGAAAGCAGTGATACAACAGACTCAAAATACATTCAGGACTGATTTGTGAGGCACCCATACATGTGGGTACTCTCAGAAACAGCTGCTTCACACACAATTATTCCAGCAAAACCCACATAAAAAATATAAAGAGCGATAATTCTAGCAACAATTACATCTACAAGGCTTTACAGTTTAGACAATGATATTTGCATTTGCAATGTAGCTGGCAATACAAAGGTGCAGAAATGGATCGACTGTAATGTGGTTGATCGGGCGTTCTGATGTCGCTCCGATGGAAAGCAAATGGTAATGTTTTGGATGAAAAAGCACAAACTCAAAATGCTGCCACGTCATTTTGCAACTTCAGGTATCGAAGCGAAAGCTTAAGGATTTCAGAGCAACAAAGCTGCAGGAAGGCTGGCAGCAAAGCCTCAGTTGCATTACAGTTCATTAAGAGTTTTTGAACCCGCTACAGAACACAAGAGGAGCATGCAAAATAGGTTACGGGCAGACGTACACTCACGCTGTACCCTCACACAAACTGTATGCACACACAGAAAACCACACACACCTTTTTGTGATGGGTTGTGATCACCTTGATGACTTCCTCCATTGAGGGCCTCAGGGGTTTGGGCTTGCTGGAAGCCCAAAGCCTGGGGCTCTGTTAAATAATTTGTTTGTTCTAAGAGCAAATCTCTTGGCTGCTCATATGTCACATCCTCTTGGTGACTGTTGAGCTCCTCTGGAGCCTCCTCCTTCTCATCCTGCTGTTGACTGACAACCTCTACTTTATCATCTTTGGGCGGGGAAGGAAGACGCATAGATGAGACATGGAGGATGACAAAACTGGGATTACATGGTTTACAAGATACTTTCAGCTCTGATGGAGATGCATGGGATGCAATCAACAATACTTCTAGCTTGGTCTTTATAATTAAATACATAATATTTAACGGTTTGCATACTAGATGTAGAAGCGGTTACAGCATCTTACTACAATAGTATATAACAGTATATAACAGGGGTCCCCGATCCCAGTCCACGAGGGCCGGTGTCCCTGCAGGTTTTAGATGTGTCCTTGATCCAGCACAGCTGATTTAAATGGATAAATGACCTCCTCAACATGTCTTGAAGTTCTCCAGAGGCCTGGTAATGAACTAATCATGTGATTCAGGTGTGTTGACCCAGGGTGAGATCTAAAACCTGCAGGGACACCGGCCCTCGTGGACTGGGACCCCTGCTCTAAGCCATCTGTCTTTTTATTCATAGACTGTACGTAAAAGATGGGCATAGCCTCTGTGTCGGAAAAGTGCCTTAAAGTTAAGTCAGTATTTGTATTTTGAGGTTATTTAATATAAAAAAAGGGATATTGTACTTATAAATATACATAGATAAGTTATTATTAAGCTATTAAAAGTACATATGAGTGGGTGCTGGTTTGTGGAAACTGCCATGTCACCCTGCCATCTTGAATGCAGTTGCTAGGAAGAACGGTTTATATATTTGCCCATACCTGACAATGAGCTGGCTAAAAATAACAACAGCTGGTTATAGGCTAATAAAACTCACACTTTACTTCTGATTAACAGTTTGATTAGGTTCTTACATGGTATGAGAGTTTATTCACTAAATGTCTGAGTCCAACAATGTTACATTCACTTCAAAGAAAGTTTCACTAACAGCAGGTAACAGAGGCTAATAGCAGCTAAGTGAGGCTAACAGCAGCACTCACTAACATAAAGTTTCAGGATAGCCTCAATAACTGACCTAAGTATCACTGTCATTGGAGAGAAATGAGCTTCCTTGATTCACTGACCTGTATTGACCTCCTTTCACAAAGTTTTACAGCCTCCTTCTAAGTAAATAAAGCACGATGCCTCTCACCCAGCATTGACAGCTGAGGTAACAGTGGCCTAACTGCCTACACCATCGGGCGATCTGGTCCGGAGTTGCTTTTGCCGTGTGAGAGCACTTACTACAGGTGAATAGTGCCCAAAGCTTTTGAGGTGACTACAAAATATTTAACTGATTGTTAATTGACTGTATTAGATTTCCTTCTTTTTCCTTATTTATTGCTAAGTGTTGATATTATTCAAGTATCTTAAAATATAGTGTGTACAACATTGCACTTCTTACACACACAGAAGCAGAAACATATCGACCAGCCTCGTCGGTTATGGGGTACAGTCTAATTTTAATATTTTTTATCTGTCTTTGATGACTAAAACATGTTTGTCCTATATCAATCCTTGATTGCAATCTACAATTTACTGAGATCTAGCGGTACAAAGTTTAGATAGTATAACTTTAAACCTGTTGGCCAGAAGGGGGCGACTCGTCTAGCAGATGGAACAATAACAACCTTATTTGTCACGTCTTTTACAACCCCAACAGACATTTTCCTGAAGAGTGTGGCGTCTCATGTACTAGCTTCAATTCTTATTGAGTAGAAAAGCCATTTAAAGTCAACATTACACGAAATCAGTGTATGATTAAGCGCGCGACCTCAGAGTCAGATTCATTCTCTCCCACCTCAGATTTCAAAAAGCTAAGATGGCAATGACTGAAAAAAAAAGCATTACTTCACAAACCAGCTGTCAAAGTAGCTATTTCAATCTTTTTCATACGGTCTATGAGCATATCTCATTATCCCACAGATCTAAATTTCAGACACTGAGTAAAGAAACTAACCCTAAACCATGCAGTGAGACTATACAACGCTACACTTTTGTAATTGCATGCCACATGTCAAGAAGAAACACGCAGATATGTTAAATAGCTGAAAGTCAGACTTGGAAAAAATCAATACACAGAGTGAGATAGGGAACAACAGAGGAGATGCTGAGGGGTGGAAAGCAGACTAATGAAATGAAGGACTCCAGTGGCTGGTAATGTACCATTGCCTGAATGGAGGAAGAGTGTTTGTGTTGCCTAGTCCTTGTGTGCAGGGTTCACGACTCAACTAACTGTTATGTGTTTTAAACCAATGCAGGAGTGTGGACAGGACAGGGCGGCATGCTATGCATGCTCCAAACTCCTTAAAGGTGATATGACGATCAGCTGGCATGCAGAGAGAGCACCGTGAAATTAAACGGTAGGGGGAAAAGGAAAGAGAGAGAGGAGGAAGAGGGTGCCCCATCTTTAAATCCTAGGGACAAGTGTGCTTGGGTGTCTTTTAGAGACTTTTGTGCCACTCTCACAGCCATTCACACCGTCAACCTGGATAGCCTGGATTGGCTTTAAGTGTGTATAGGTGTACCTTGTGCCACGGGCCCAATCTGCTCAGCGGATGGAGAGGGGGGAGGGGAGGGAGGCAAATTGGCTGAGTCATCCACTGCGAAGGAGAGAGAGAGAGAGAGAGAGAGAGAGAGAGAGAGAGAGACACACACCGGGAAGACAAGACATGGATGGGAGGAAGGAAATGAAGACGATTCACTCTGCTGATCTTATCTCTTTGTGAGGTCTCCCTTTGAATTCAGAGCTCGGCAGGTTGTGTGTGCTTCATGAATGGTAAGTGCTCAGCACAAGACTGGACGCTTTCTCTGAGATTTAATAAGTTGGGCCTTTTGTTTGCTGCCCGTTGAGGATAAATGCAAACAGACTCACTAACTTACCCAAATGATGCAGAGAAACTCTTTTTTTAAAAAACATTTTATTAAGCTTTATAAGGCAGAATACACCCAAGATCAACACATCATAAACTTTCCAAATGTACTTGTTAGACGGTGGCACAAATATCATTGGTTCTCTTTTAAATTCTAACATGGTGTTGTAGCACTGCATTATCTAAATTACAAGCTTATTTCTTGCCTAGTTTTTCTCTGTCTGTTTTAAGGGTTCATTCATTCAGTTTTCTCGGTATTTATTTATTCAGCTCAACTTTTTATGAATGCTTTTAGTAAACAATTTAATTGTTTATTGGCAGCAAACATTGCTGGAACCCTGATATCATGCAGGCGCTGGACCGCAGAGAAGTGGATCTTGATGCTGTTTCCATGTAGATGTAATGCTGTCTCTTTAATGTTGTCTTTTTTTTTTTGCAGGCAACTAATTTGGTTGAGAATAGACACTTTAAACAATGTATAGTGCTTTGCAAAAGTCTTAAAGCCACCCCTTGTTTCTTTATATTTTGCTCGAATGGAGCCAGACTTAATTTTTATTTTTAAAGGGCTCTTGAACAATAGTTCTCCAGGTTTTCTGAAGGACTTTCAAGTGATTAGCTGGACATTGGCGTTTTCAGTCCAGCCGTTGTACCTGACCATTTTAAGAGGAATGTTTTTGTTTGCTAGCCACTTACACTGACCTGTGAATCATTCAAGTATAAAACACTCAAGGAATGAACCAGTTGTATTGTGTCTACATATAACAGACAACTTGGCAAAGAGCCAATTTTAAATTGTATCTTTAGACACTTTGTTACCAGCAGCCTGTCATAAAAACACATAATTTGTTCTCATTTCTTTAGTTGAATCTCTGAAAAATACCAAAGATAACACAGTTTCACATAAAATAGTATTTTTGCACCAACAATGTGATTTCCAAAGAGATTTTGAAAAATTTGCATATCTCATCATGGTGTGCAGTGTATCCTTAAAAATAATTGAAGAAACTGGGCAAAACAAGAAGTATCAGGCTTAAAAAAACCCAAACCCTAAAATATTGACTATGTTTGGAGGAGGTCAGTAGAGAGGAACGAGAGTGACAGCCGTCTACAGCCATCTGTGAAACACGGTGGAGGCTCTGTCATGGCTTGAGCTGCATGTCAGCCAGTGGTGTTGGAAGTCTTGTCAAAATGTAGACACAGAAAAGTAGCATCAGATTTTGACTGTGCAATACAATCTGGAAACGATCTGATTGGCAGCAGCTTCATCGTTTGATTGACTGGCCTCTCCACAGCCTGGAACTTAACATCATTGAAGCAGTCGATTGGCAAGAGCTTCATTTTCAGCATGACAATGATCTTAAACTCACTGCCAAAATCATAAATGTTAGAAAAGAATAAAGCTGAAGAATAAAGCTGGTCACACCAATATCGACTTTCAAGCTCATTAGAAACTTTACTGCATTTCCATGGATGTTTGGACATTTCAATAATCACTGCACCTATTTCCCATTCTCCTAGTAAAATATAAAGAAAAGAGGCTGGCTCAAGACTTTTTCACAGTATAATAATATACTGCAATTATATAATAATTTAACCCTCCAGTTTTGTGCATTTGCTGATTGCTGATGATGATTATAACTGTTCGAGACAGTTTATCTATAGCCTAGTAGGTTTATAATCATAACTTTTTTGATAACTTTTTTCCCCTTTTTGGCTACTTTCATTTTTTGCTATTTGTTAACTTTTGTGCTCAATTTCAATCCGGTCCACTGCGCTCTTAAATCTTATTGTAATTCTACTTTGTCAGACGAGTTGAGCTGATCCTTCCACTTGACACCGTTTGGGAATCACCAATTTTACACCCACCAAAGAGCCATCACTGTACCTTCCCCAATGTCCTTCTGCCTTTGTTAACACAGCTACAGCAGACTGTCCATGTTCAGCACTCATTCAATCAAAACACTTTCATTTGTTCAAGTGCCTTCATGGGATTGACTGCTCTTGCCCAGCATGATGGAGCCAATCACAATCCTCACAGCTGTAGACCCATCTGGTGGTGTGTGCAGGCACTCCAATCAATGCCATTGATACAACTCTGCATGCACATGCTTTTGCACACGCTCGCAAACACGCCGCACGCCTACCTGACGTCCCAGGATGCGCAGCCGCCCCGCCCCCGTGGTATCCATTCTCTCTATAGGCCGAGCTGTAGGCGGAGTAGCCATTCTCGCCATTCTCCTGGCCGTTGGAGGCCCAGTGCCCCTCTGGCTGCTGACCGTCTGCCATACCTGCCTGCTGGGAATCCGGGGAGGGGAAGGGTCACCTGTTGTGTCTAAGGGTGGGGGGCGGGAGAAAAGACAACGTATTATATAACAATAATAATAATAAACAGATGAGTCTTGGCAGAGATGAGTCTTTGCTGCAACAATAAGAGGGAGAAAACCCCCTGCGTGGTGAAGGTTACAGAATTGGCCACTAGGGGGAGCAGTGTGCTACGCTGATGCTTTACCGGCCGGCCTTTGTCTCAGCATCCACGTGCTGAGACAGGAGGGAGAATATGTGCATCTCATTTGTCATGATTCATTAGTTTCTTTGTTTGGTCTTGCTTTTATCATAAAGGTGTATATGGCAACACCGCCTGATAAAATACATGCCTTCATTGCACGATTATTTGGATTAACCCCCCCTGCCTCCCCCACAGAGTGCAGGGATGGAAAAAAAAGCAGGTGATTAGTAAAAAACAAACAAATTCTCTCAATTTTTAATCCAAAATATGTGACACTCTGCTGTAGAGAGGCTATGACACCGTGGTTGAACACACCCTTGATATCCCATAAGGAGGCTGTTACCATGGCAACCACAACGGGCCTTAAGGGTAGTGGGGGGGGCGTCCGGCAGATGGGTTTGACAGGCTCACCCTTTCAGTAGCAAACAAGTGCTCAATATGCACACAAATCTCGGAATATAACACAGCGACCACATTTCCACCAATTACAATAACAAAAAGCTTTGTTGCATTCAAGTAAGTGCTGCTGAAGTATCTACGTTTTAATCAAGCCTCACTTAAAGCTATGTTTTACCCTCCAGAGCAAACACATAATGTTGCCTCCCGTGTCTGCCATTCTCCCTAAACAGGATCATTATAAACAAGCAGCTGCAAATTATTTCATCATAACAAACCATCAAGAAGACTCCTTTCTTCTTCCTCTCCCTTCTGAGGCACAACCTTCATGCAGGCAGGGGCCGGTCAGTCAGACTCTCAGCAGAATATTAATACATCTCTTATACCCCCAAACTATGGAATAAAAATAACCATCACGCCAGCGATTGTGTCGCCTCATCCTTACACTCCTTTCCTGTCTCCTTTCCCACCCTGCAGCGTCGCATGATGACAGGCCCGCAGTGATCGGGGCTAATGTCTGCTGCAGTGTGAGGCTCAGACAGAGAGGGAGAGAGAGAGATGAAGAAGGAGTAGAAGGAAGACCTACTGACACTCAAAGATACTAGGCCAAACTGTCTGAGACTGAAAATCTCAGCCCAGGGCTCAGTCTAGTCCCAGCTGTTGCTAAGGAAGAAAACTGGTGCGCTGACAGCCACATGGTGCTCATGGTGGTTCAGAACCGCTCTGACCTGCTTTTAGCTTCTTTTTCAGCAATATTGTGCCACACTTGGCATTCACACATTGTCCCTGCAAAGGATGTCATAAACCCTGGCTGTTTAAATAAAGACGTTGAGAAAAAAAACAGGTTAATTTACAGAGTTTTGGGCCAATTAAAATCTTCAATTAAAGAGTACTGCCTGTTTACAGTACTATTAAATTACACATTGACCTTAGGAGCAGAACATGTATTTTTTCCATACTTCTTAAGGATACTGATAAATAAAATTAAAGCAAAGACATTCAAGAAACGCGTGTGGATTGGTGTGCTTCTAAACAGCATCCAGACATGATCAGGACGACCTGCTGAAGTTTAAACTGAACATCAAAATGAGGACGAAAGGTGATTTGTTCTCCATTCTGCATCCTCCATTCAACAGTGATCAGTATACAGAGAATGATATGAAAGAGCAAATATCCTGAGGAGAATAGCCAGACTCCTTTCAACGGATAGGATGGTAACAGTAACTCAAGTAATCTCAAGAAGACCACACTGAGTGCCACTCCTGTCAGCTAAGCAGGAAACTGAGGCTACAGTTCACACAGATTTGCCAAAACTACACAACAGAAAATTGGAAAATTGTTGCCTGGTCTGGTGAGTCTCAATTTTTGTGACATTCAGATGTAACTTGATTTAAACAACATAAAAGCATGGATCCATCCTGCCTTATCACAATAAAGGCTGGTGGTGTAATGATGTGGTGGATATTTTCTTGGCACCTTTTGGCCTCCTTATGGCCTCCTTAGTACCAACTGAGCATCCTTTAATTACCACACCCTACCTGAGTATTGTTGCTGACTATGTCCAGCCATTTATGTCCACAGTGTACCCATAACACACCCATCAGGTGTCAGAAAGTTCACCGAGTTCACTGTACTCAAATGGCCTCTTTGGGATGTGGTGGAGATGGAGATTCTCATCATGGATGAGTAGTTGGAAATAACAACTCTGTGATGCTATTACTTTAATATGGTCTTAATATGGTGTTTGGTGAGTGTATAAACAAGCAAATTCTGATTTTTTTAAATCCCCAGATTAGAATTATACTTAATTTATTCTGTGACCTTTGGACTTAAGTAACACTTTATACTGAAGTCACGCCAAATTGTCTATTTTTTTCTGTTGTTTGGCTTTGCCAACTCTCCAGACCTTGCTTTCCAGGCATACCCTGTCATCCTCGCACACTTAACATGATTCGACATTGCCCTCTCGCACCGGTTCCCCTTGGTTGTTTACCAGTCTTAGTGTGTTAGAAAGGGATAAAGTCTGCAGTGGCTATTTTCTAACCACAACACCAAAAAATTAGAAGATTAAATGAGGCGTATTCTGCAGTGATGAAAAGCCCTATAACGGTTTTCCTCTCATGTTTCCCACAGCAATCCCTCTCTTTTAAGACACAAGATACTTTAAGAAATACACTCTGCAGGGTTGAACAGACAAAGTACAACAAAATGAAGTTTGATCTTTATATTTTTAGGCATTTTTTAGATACAACCCTAACAGCAATAGCACAGCATGAGGACCATCACATTTTTCTAATGCTTAGAGGGTTAGCTCAACAGCACTAGGAGTCAAAAGTGATCCGTCAAATTCCATCACATCTCGAGTTTGATGCCTTAAATGAAATGTTCCAGCGTGATCGCTCGCAGAGAAGAAGAAGAGAAGGTGTGGCAGCAAGCCTGAGGCTAATCGGACATGAGTGGGTTTCTCTTCTTCGTCTTTCTTTCCTCTTTTACTGTCATTGTCTCGCGCTCTCATGACCCCCTGCTGCGCTCCTCTCTACCTTCCACCCCCAGCATCTCATCACACCACCCAAGCTCTAATCCCACCACATTTCCCTCCCTGTCTGCACCTCATCCCTTCCAACCCCACCCCAATCTGGGTCACCCATCATGCCTCCGTAGAGCGCCACTCACATCGGAATGTCACCATCCATTTAGGATGGAGGATGGAATCTCTGGCAGCCTGTCTCAGTAGGCCAACCTGGCCTTAATCCTCTGTGGGAGAGGCCGAGTGTGTGTTTGAATGTGTGTGTGTGTGTTGGAGAACCTTTGTGTTTGCAGCTAGGATCAGCACGGTCACTAGGTAAGATTTTCTACACCACACTACAGATTAACAGTATCATTTAATCTCTTCTATTTGCTTTCGAGCAGACTAATCTCACGATAGTATCTACTGAATATCTGTATGAAATGAGCGTGTTATAGAGATATAGATATTTTATTTATTGTTCGTGTCTTTTTTCAAGCAAATCAGCTTGTTACACGCGCATTGGTGCACTGAATGATGGCTGACTGTCACATTGAACAGAAGAACTGTGAAGTACTAAAGGACAAAAAAGTTTCCCGTGACCTGTAATCAACCCAGAATCCAGTGGCTTCCTCATCTGGCAGCAGATGGACAGATTATGTTTTGCTGACTCAGCAGAACATGTGGCGGGGGGCTGGGGGGCTATGAAGCGTAATGAGTGCCTTCAGCGAAGTGTGAATGAACTGTGTAAATGCTGGAGAGCAGCACGATGAGCGAGGCACGCGCACACACAAACTCACAGCCGTGAACACGAGGCAGGGGTGATATCCACTCCTTACAGATTAAGTGCCGTAATAACTGGGGTAGAGGTGCACTGAGATTATATTAGCACCTCTTTCAAAAGCACTGTTTTCTAGATAATGTTGATATTACTCAGTAAAAATACATTAAATATTTTAAATCACGTGATAATAAAACTGTAAAAAAGCTCAAGGTTGTTTGTGTCCTACTTTTTATTTATTAATACTTTAAACAATAACCTGAGTATCAAAAACTAATGTCACCAGCCTTTCTTTTTGCTGTGTTTACATCACTATGTATCTGCATTCCTATCAAATAACTGCTTCAAGAGATCTAAGTGACTGTATCCGGGTCTCCTTCCCTTTCTTTGGTCACAGTCCAGATCTGTCCATGTATCTCCTGCCAAGAAGATGAGCTAGACTCATACATGGTAAAATAAGATTTTTATCGACTCATAAAACTTGACGATTGACGATTACTTAGTTTTTTAAAATGTCTTTTATGTTGCTGCCTCGTGTCTCGGTGCTCTATTTTTTCTCTTCTCTTCCCCATCACACTCTTCCAGTCATGGTGGATGGCTGCCTCTCCCCGAGCTCTTGGGTCTCATGAAGGACTCTTACCTGTTAAAAGGGAGTTCTTCCTCCCCACCGCTGATAAGTTGTTCCTCAAAAGGGATCGTAAAATTGTGGGACTGTGGGATATAACCTTTAATTTGTCAGTAATGATTGGGGTTCATATATACAGTTTTACTAATAAACTTTTCAACATGTCCACATACATGTCCCTAAAGAGGACAATATAACAACACTGGATGACTGATTTGACTGATAAGTCCTGTAAGTTTTGAGGTGGAGGCTCCATGGATCAGACTTTTGTCCAGCACGTCATAGATGCTAGATTAGATTGCGATCTGGGGAATTTTGAGGCCATTCCTGAACCATTTTTACTTTGTGGCAGGGTGCATTATCCTGCAGAAAGAGTCCACAGCCAGCAGGGAGTACTTTTTCCATGAACTGGTGCACATGGTCTTCAACAGTGCTTAGATACATAGTTTGTTTTCAAACCATGACACTTGCCGGTCATGTGAGCAATGCACATGAACCCAACTATCCACATGATGTAAAAGAAAACCTCATTCATCAGACGAGGCCATCTTCTTCCATCGTTCATGGTCCGGTTCTGCTGCTCATGTACCCATTGTGGGAACTTGTGGATAGAGGTTAGCATGGGCACTCTGACTGATCTGTGGCTATGCACGTTCTTCTGCAACAAGCTGTGATGAACAATTTGATATGCAGTAGCTTGTGTGCTGGATCAGACCATACGGGCCAGCCTTAGCTGCCTATGTGCATCATTGACCTGTGGCCACCCATGACCCTGTCTCTGGTTCAGTGCTGTTCCTTCCTTGTATCACTTTCAACAGAAACTGATCACTGCAGACTGGGAACACCCAGAGGAGCTGCAGGTTCGGAGATGCTCGGAACGATTCATCTAGCTATCACAATCTGGCCAGTCTGTCAAACTTGCTCAAATCCTTATGCTTGTCGTAATGGTCATAATGTGATGTCTAACTGGTGTATGTAAGTTATACTTGGTAGGTTTTAACTTAACTTTAACTTATTATTACTGTTAGTAATTTCTGAGCTAATTTCCTTGACCCTTCCAAAATTTCTCCAAGCTTGAAAAAAATCCTTCAAATTTGTACATATGTGCATTAGTTAAACACATTGCCTGCTGCAGCTGTCACCAAAACACGATGTAGCCTGAACTGATATGTGTTCATCACACAAACAAACCCATACAGGTGCTTAGTCATCATCATAGTAACCATGACAATATATTCACTTTATGTAATCTAAATGCTTCTCAATCGAAAACAATGACAACAGTAAGTTCATTAATGTGTGCTATGCAGTTCATTTTAAGTAACCCACACCTGCAAACTGATGTTCCCCCTTTTAAGGCAACTCAGGGTTGAGTTTAACTGAAAGCAACTGCTGGCTTTATTTTCAGCCCCCAACCTCATCACAGCAGTAGATGTTCCCTGGCATGCATCAGCCCCATCCTGCAGTGATGTCATTGTTTCCATGGTGATATAACAGCCAGTGTGACCAGTAGAGGAGTGTGACTTTGACCACGTTATGGATCCACAAAGAGGTCAGCAGAGCCTGCAGGATCCGGGAAGGGGGGGGGGGGTCACAAATGGGAGCGGAGCCATTTAACTCATCAATATCCTGATAGCTGGTTACAGGTTGGGCTCTTGATGTCATTTTAGGCTTTTATGCTGCTGGTGGTGCTAATGGGGGCGGTATTAATTATATATTTTTGCATGTAGACTCTTTAGTTGCTATGACAGTAAGAAAAATACCACACAGCAGGATTTAAAAGAGAAATAAATCAAGAATGTATGCCTTTCATGCTTTGATTACAAAAATAATCAATAAAAGAAAAAGAAAACTTGAGAAAACTCCTAATTTTGTTAATCATCTTGCAACCCTTCCAGTTTAGTCTTGGCTCCTATCGTCGTTTCCCACACCTTTTGCTTTTCAAAAAAGGTTACAGCCAGATTGTTTAGATACATAAGAAACACACATCGAAAGAAAAACAACACAGTCAAGCATAATAAACTGCATGATCAAAAACTGTTTGCTTCTGCAGTATCTTCCCCGGCACATCTGTGTCAGGTGAACCTGTGCATTCAATGGTGTCAGCGTAATTGGCAGAATCACTGCTCCCCCTGGTGGAGCCCCTGTTCCAAAATCGACACCTATACTGTATGTTCAACTAAAATTTGCAGCTGCCCAAATGGACAAGCCAGATGCCTTCTGGGGAAAGGTTTTATGGAGAGATGAGACAAAGACTGAGATGCTTGGTCACAATGACCAGAGGTATGTTTGGAGGAGTAAAGGTGAGGCTTTCAAACCCAAGAGATGACTCAGTTCATCTCGGCTGGAGATGGTTTGCTCTGCGCCGTCAAACTGGGATATCAGAGAGGAATCGCTGACCTGACGTCAACTGAAATGAAGTTACTGCTCAGAGACATGTAGACGGGGTCTACAGTAAAGATGGTGTAAAAGAAATGCATTCAGCGTCTGAACACCATACAGGTGTTTTTTTTTCTTGTTTTTATGCCACTTCATTTTTTAGTTCTTTTACTTGTTTTTTTTTTTTTACACTACTTTTTGACTGTTTGTATGTGAAAAGTATTTAATAAATAAATAAACTTACTTAATTACTTACAACACTTGGAGGCTGAGGTACTGCTTTGCCAGGATCCTCAGCCTCAGCACATATCGACAGACAGTTAAACAAAAGAAAACTATGCGAATTAAAGACAGCGTAACGAAGCCCTATAGCTGTGAAATACATCAAAGCTCGTTTTGGATGTATCTCCTGAAGGCTCAGTGCTAATAATTTCTTTTTTTTAGCTTATTATTTCGTTTTTATTATGGTATTAAAGAGTGGAGGCAAATCTCTACCAGCCTACCGTGCCCACCAAGTAGACAGTGGACCATTCATGATCATGAAGAGCTGGAATTACACTTGTGAACTGAATAACTTTCTATTATTGACACATCAAACAAACGGCTGCCAGGACAAACAGGACAACTGTGACATGTTTACACAGCACGAGCTCGCCGCCGTGTTTCTCAAAACTTCCTGTCTGTCAGCCCAAGCCCTCTCTTTATTACCCAAACCGAAGTGAATTTTGATGCCAATTACTGCACTACCGCGCTTGTATACACCTACACCTACGCACACAATCTGCTAGAAATCAACTGACACGTACACAAACACCCACCGGCTCACGCAAACAAACACAGCTCAAATGCATCCAGAAGTCGTTGCTTAGGAGCGAGCGCGTTGTTAACACAAGCTAGATATAGAAACAGATGGTTGTGAAATCTCCGTCCTGCCGCTCGCTCTGTCATTTCTCTCTCTGTGACGCCACTCAAACACATATCAGCGGGAAAACACAAGATTAGACTTTCAGCTTAATGACTCCTTTTTGGAATACAAAAATATCCGTCATGACACCAACGCAAACAATCATCATCATTTCTCTTCTTTGTGAGCATAATTCCCCCTCTATTATATATATATATATA